GAGTCAATATACTGCTCCCCACATAGCTCGGCGCAGAGAAGGCCTTACCAATTTGATCAAGCATCTTGTCACACTCATCGAGCACGAAGATACGGACGCTGCCCAGGCGGAGGAACTTGTCGCGCACCAGCGCGTTGAGACGACCAGGCGTGCCGACAATGATGTGCGGGTGCGTGTCCTTGTTCTTCAGGAGCTCGGCGTCCTTCTGGATGGGCGTGCCACCAAAGAACACACCAGTCTTGATGTCGGGCATGTACTTGGAGAAGCGGGTGTACTCGTTGCGGATCTGGAAAGCCAGCTCACGAGTGTGGCACATGACAAGGACCGAGCACTCGCCAGCGACGGGCTCGACCTGCTGGAGTGTCGTCAGGACGAACACGGCCGTCTTTCCCAGACCCGACTTGGCCTGGCAGATGATGTCGCCTCCCAACATGGCCTGGGGGATACATGTCTGCTGAACTGTGTGGTGGACCGGTGTTAGATATCGCGTCTAATAGGGCAGAAGTGGGCTGGGCGTCGAGTCGTAAAGGTCCGTCCATCGTCGCAGCAGAGGCACAAACAAAACTCAACATCTCCCCTCAAGTAACAAGGAGAACAAAGCAGTGCCTCCGCCATGCCACCATCCGGTCTTCTGAGGAGGGCTCGGTTTCCGTGCACGTATCGCAGCCGGTGAGCCGGAATCAGATGGCCGCGCTCCCGATCCGGGACGAGTCCCATTCGCGACAAACTCCCGGTTCCCAACCCACGGATTGCAGGTCGGGCCTGAGTTGCCTCAGAGGAGCTGTCTTAATCCGTGTCGAATAGCTGATCCCGATGGGATGCAGTGTACCGACGCGCAAAGCCTGCCACGACCAATGGCCATGACAGCTTTTCGACATTCGCAGAGCTCAAGCCCCAGCAAACCGAAGAAGTCCATATTCCAGTCACTCAAGATGGCGGAAACGGAGCCTCCAACGGTGGTCGCGCGCGTGGATCTTGGTTGGGTTCGGATTCCCACAGCTGGCTAGCCACAGCCATATGGTTGGGCCTTCATGCCCCTTCTCGTCCCCGAAAGTGTTCATGATTGTCCTTGGATGGAAGTTTTTTGCCTTTTTGAGTCCCGAGATGGATTCCTTTTGCTTGCGCGAGATGGACGGACGCTTGGAGGGTCTGGAGGGATAACGACTGGAGCTGGGAAGATTAAGAGTGTTTCAAGGAACTAACCCTCCGAAGGGTGCTCGAAGCCGCAGTCACCGATGGCGCGGAGGAGCTCAGGCTTCAGCAGGAAGTCGCGGAAGCCGGTCGAGTGGATACCGACGTAGCTGCCCTTCTTGTCGACGTTGTTACCGCCGGCCGCGAGCTCGCCTTTCTTGCCGTTGGAGGCCGAGGCGGGTGCCGCGGTCTCGTTGGTGTTGAGCTCCTCGTCGGAGTAGTCGATGAGATCCTCCTCGGCGGACATGATGGCGGTTGGCGTGGATTAGAAGGAGGGGAGCGAGTGCGATTGGTGGAGGGGTTAGGATGTCAATCCTTTTTCAAAAATGGACGGCAATAAACAAAAGCGTGTCGACACGGGGCGGAGCCAGGCCGATGAAAACAAGGCGACGCGCCTTGAAGAGCCGAATCGAAGGGAGAAGAAAAATGGTTGGTGACCACGCGCTTCGAAACGGTGGTTCAGCCTACGAAAAGTGATGGCGCGATGAACAGAGTTGCGGACGGTGAGGGCCGCGATGCTGTGGTGATGGAAAGAGAAAGGAAAACTCGGCAGGGCGGTTGACGAGGAGCGATTTTGGAGTTTGCCTTTGTTGCGGCGCCCAGGGAGAGACGGAAGGCTGCGCCTGCACGCACCGCCCCAAACTGCAAGCTGGCTCGAGCTAGTCCGCATTTGGCACGAGAGGACCCGCTGAGTCAATTGCGCACGTCCCCCCC